GCATTTTTCCCTGTTCACCTGGGTGTTAGTGGACTGGTGTGGGTTGCATTCTGGGAGACAAGATTAAGGACCCCAATGGAAATAAGTTACAGTCTTCGATGACACTGACTTTTTTGGGTTATCCTGGGTGGCAAATCCTCTGGGGTTAATTGTTTCTTTGTATTCTCAATAAGCCACACCAACAACGGTGCTACAGCAGCAGCAGCTGACAGTGATACAGCAGCAGCAGACAATGCTACAGCAGCAGCAGGCGGTACTACAGCAGCAGCAGACGGTACTACAGCAGCAGCAGACGGTACTACAGCAGCAGCAGCTGACAGTGCTACAGCAGCAGCAGACGATGCTACAGCAGCAGCAGACGGTACTACAGCAGCAGCAGCAGCAGCTGACGGTGGTACAACAGCAGCAGCAGCTGTACCACCAATAGTAGCGATGGTTGATTGGGGTTTATTATACAACCTGGCCAGCTCGGAGACACGCACTCCACTTTCATACTTATCAATGATCTTTTTCTTCATCTCTATAGTAATTCTCACCCTTATTGCTGTAGGGTTGGCACTAGAAGCTTTCTTGGGGCCCATGGTCACTTATTTTCCAGAAAAAATCACCAAAAACACTGTAATAATACGAAATGTTCCGATTGTATGCTTGGATGTTACCGCGGAGGCTGGCTGGTAAACAATGCCACCGGCGGCACATGTGAGGCTGGCTAAGGGCGCACATTGGACGCGTCTCGGACGAAGAGCGGTGAGCGGGTTTTTGGGCGGTATGCGAGGCAAAATTTTTGCGATAAAAGCGAGCGGTATGCGGATTGAACGGTATGCGATGCGTACGGTATGCGGGGGTCCACTGTATAAATACGTCAAACACGGTACCTCATAAGACGTATATATACGACCGAAACAGTCAAAGGGTTAACCCCCAATTTTGTGTAGTTTCTGACAGCTTGGTGGTGAGGGAATCTATTTGCTTAGTATTTGTGTCTACAGTTGATTGCAGGTTTTGAGTGTTGCTTGAATGAGTTTAAGGTTGTCAGTTTGCTTTCTAGTTCGCTATTCCTTGAGTTTTGTGTTAGATGGTGCTCTAGGTCACTAATCCTCGTGTTTTGGGTAAATAGAGAGCGCTCTAGGTCCCCAGTCAGTTTTCATAGGCTTCATTTTGCCGTCTCTGCGTACCATTTTCCTGTAGAATTTTATCAATGTTGTCGAGTCGTTGCTGAGGTCTGCATACCTGGGCTATACTTTTGGGTGTTGATGAGTTGTAGTTGATGACGCCATTTGGAAAGAATGAAGAACTCAAAAGGATTATCAAATAGAATGAAAGGAACATGTGAAAGACTTGGGAATAACAATGTCAGCTGGCATTTCTTTCAAAGAACATAATAAGACTAAGGTCACAACAGCCAGGAGAATGGTGGGGGTTGGGTATTGAGATCCTTCAGAATACGAGAAATAATGCCAGTGGTGACACTTGCTAGTGCTCCCTCGTTTGGAATATTGCTCAGTGTTGATGGCCCTGTTCAAGGCAGGAGAAATATCAGAGCTTGAAAAGTTAGATTGTTTATGGCCTGCATAGAGCCAGTAAAGCATTTATATTACTTGGAATGCCATAGTCTTTAATATGTACTCTGGAGTGGAGGAGAGATGCATGATAATATATCTGGAAAGTACTTGAAGGCCTGGTCTCAAATCTGCACACTGCCATAACAGCATACTAGAGTGAGGGATATGGGAGGAAATGTAGAATAAACCCAGTGGAAAGCAGGGGTCTGGTGGGCACAATAAGGGAATACCATATCACCATTTGTGGCCCCAGATTATTCAACATCTTACCAGAAGATATCAGAAACACAGCTGGAACAAGTGTAGATGTCTCAAGAAAAAAACTGGACAAGTATTCTCACCAGGTGCCAGATCAGCCAGGTTATGATGGATATGTGGGGCAGCAGGCCTCTGGCAGCAACAGATGGACTAAGCTAGCACCAGATGAACCTGGCCCATGGCTGGGCTCCGGGAGTACTCTCTCGAAACTCATCAAAGAGGTGCAATAGTCATTGAAGTGTATCTACACAGAGTAGTACAGAAACTGCATGCAGCGATGGACAAAGATTCAGAGCTTGGAGTGCAAGAATTAAGGCATTTAATTCAACACTACAGATGCCTTACCCCCACATGAAAGCTGCATAAGATAATATTCCCAAATCAACAATAAATGCAGGCTGGGGAAAATTATGACTTTGGGTGGCTAATAATTTCGCAGGAATTTTTCTCGGTTGAGTCAAGTCAAGGAAATTGTTGAGCTGGCAAAGAGACTGCCAGGTGAGAGCTTGGAAGGCCTGCACCATTACTCCATTTAAAACCTTTTCATCACCCTGTCTATCCTCTGGGCTGTGGCTCACCAACGTACACTTACCATCATGTGCGTATTGTATTTCAAATTTTTATCACAACTTGAAGCTAAATTCCTCTGAGGGTAAATGTTTAATTTTTGCCCATGTTCAAGAGTAAATAAATCACACCACACATCCAATACACATCAACTGGCAGGTCTGATGTGTTTTCACAAATGCGCTGATATTATTTATACCATTTTTACAATAATGCAGTAGTCTGCATAACAGTAAATCATCTATTTTTTGTTGAATAAAAATTGAAAATGGAAAGCAAGTGTAATATAAGAGGGGCCTGGAGTCATTACTAATAAACAGAGAAAGTTATTTTAGTGCTAGGAATGTTTGCATTGCTTATTCTGGACCCTATTTTGAAATTGGCCTTGATTTGTGTATGAAATTGGCCAAATTACCAATCTCTGATCTTTATTGGGTAGTTGAAATCAGTAAATGGGCAGTTTCTTGTACTCAGTCGATAGAACAAATGGAGTTCTAGCGAAATATCTATAAAATGGGTCGACTGGAACAGTGGAATTGGCTGAAAATAGGCAAAATTGGCGATGCGTAAATATTGCCTAGACCGCTGACTTTGCAAGAGTAAGTTTCCCATCAATTTTTTTGCTTTTGGCGTCATTACCATCAAGAAAAGATTCTCTATCATTTCATAATTTTTTTTTTTTTTAAATTCTTCGACACTGAGAGCAAGTTTGTGAGCAGGGGTCTCCTGGTGTCGCAAATGATAACCTTTTCCGGATTGTAATGACACCAAAAGAACGATATTTGAAGGAAAATTGACGGAATTACGCTCTCGGAAAGTTAGCGACCTCAGCGATATTTACGCATCGGCGATTTCACCCACTTTGAGCCCTATTTTCAGCTAATTTCATTGTTCCAGTTGACCAAACTCAGCTATTTATTTAGAACTCCATTTGTTCTAGCGACTGAGTACAGGAAACTGCCCATTTACTGATTTCAGCTACCCAATAATGTAGTCAGAAATTTGCAATTTGGCCAATTTCACGAGAATTAAAAAATATGGCAATTTCAAAATAGGGTCCAGAATGAACAATGCAGACATTCCTGGCTCAAAAATAACATTTTCTTTTTTCATCGGTCACATCTCCAGGCCCCTCTGATATTACTCTTGGTTTCTATTTTGAATTTTTATTCAAACAAAAATATACAAGATTTACTGTTAGGCAGACTACTGCAATATTGTAATAATTGTATAAATAATGTTAACTCATTCATGACTGCATATTAGAATGGCTACTTGGATATTTATTGGAAAATGACATCATTTGTTTACTTTTGAACATTGGCAAAAATCAAACATTTTCTCTACTTTGAGCTCCATTTCAAGGTTCTTTTCATAGGAAAACCAATCGAAATCACCTCTTTTTCTATAATATGTTTTCCATTCTATCAAATGAGACCAAGAAAACGAGAATACAACCATAAATACTATTCAAAAATAGACCAGAAATTCTGCATTTTAATTAAAAAAAAATGGTTGGAGTTTTTTTTCTCATGCACTGTGTGCTGCAGGATTTTTTTTATATGGTGCACACTGACCACATAGACCCATTCTCTCACATGTGGACCTACCAGCTTTCTCCTGCTTGATTTGAAGCCGCTAGAATTTGAGTATATATACGTCAAAAATGGTGGCTTGTAAGACATATATGTACGACCGAAACAGTTAAAGGGTTAATTGTGTCTGGCAGTTTATATTTATTTCTTCGAGAGATTTTCATGTCCATCAGAGGGTGTTGAAAAGCAAACTACTGTGTGCAAATGGTTAGGTACTTTGAACATTCTTATTCTTCCATAGTCTTTATGATAAGGGATAAAAGAAGTGACCCCAGATTCCCATACTGAATTATATACCATACATAGTTAGCATCCAGTCTTGGTTAACAAATCTTCAAATAATCTTTGTACAGTGGAACCTCAGTTTTTGTATGCCCTAGTTTGTATGTAAAACTATAGTTATTCTCTATAAAATGTATTTTTTGTTAATATTTTTAGGTGTCTGGAACAGATTAATTGGATTTGCATTATTTCTTTTGGGAAATATTGCTTCAGTTTTCGTACGATTTGGTTTATCGTCAGACTTCTTCGAACAGATTAATCACGAAAACCGAGGTTCCACTGTATTTATATTGGCCTTTGTTTTCCTTGACTGCTACACATTCCAGTATGTTTGGCAGGATAGGGATGTTAGAGGTTGTGGTACTGAATGTGTTTATCAAGAGGAAAACATTTTCCCAAGGAAGTGAGGAAGCAAGAGGTTTCCTTCATTAATTTAGTTGATATTTAGTTTCCCTTTAGCTGATACACTGTACATTGTAGAAGGGAAATTCTTTTGTTTGATAATATTATTGAATGTATAGTATATGCAATTTAATTAGTAAAAGTTAGTTAAAATGCAATCACTCTCTGGATCTGTCACATTGTGGGAACTGAGTGTGTGATAGAGATTGAGAACCCTTAATTTTAATTTCTTTTCACTGGTTAAACTGCATGTTACGATATTAATTCTTGTGTAATCTTATAAATTAAATCTGTAAGGTTAATTGTTTATCCTACAGGAATTTGTGTGTTACAGGTTTTGTTTCGGACCAGAATCTATCACTGCAATATAAACTCTCAGGGGGTCATCTGCCTGGATATCCTCAAGGATAACTGGTCACCGGCACTCACTATTTCAAAAGTTCTCCTCTCCATTTGTTCCTTACTCACTGATTGCAATCCAGGTAAGAGACAGCACAGAGTGTAAACTTCATAACCAGGCACTTTTCTAAAATCTCATTTTAGATCTTTAATTTTTTTTTCTTATTGGCCATCTCCCACTCAGGTAAGGCCATCTCCCACTCAGGTAAGGCAAGTCAGAAACAAAAGCACATTCACCATCACTCATTCAATTGCTGTCTTGCCGTAAGTGTACTGTCATCATAGAATTTTATTTTGCCGCCATTATTATTTCATTCTCCATGGGGAAGTGGAAAAGAATTTTTCATCTGTAAGCCGTGAGTGTTACAAGAGGTGATTAAAATGTCGGGAGCAAGGGGCTAGTAACCTCTTCTCTATGAGTTTCTAAGTTTACAAAGAAAAACTTTTTTTTTTTTTTTTTTTTTTTTTTTGTAAACTTAGAAAAACTTCAGTTTTTCTTTTTAGTCACCTTGCCTCAATTGGATATGGCCAGTTTGTTAAAAAAAAAAAATATCCTATGGTTATTTTGGATGACAGAAAAGATTCTACTACTATGTCCCTCTGTGCTGTTTTTTCTTCTAATTTTGACATCTAATTGAATTTTTATGCTTGGTCAGGCACTCGTTTTTTTTACACAATTTTTGTGTGCCCAAGTTTATCAAACATACCATGTGGTATGTATGACTGAATAAAACATATTAGCTACACACCTGATAGGTCCCCACATCTTAGTTTCTTTCACTCTTTTTGCTCCTCCTCTGGTCACTCTTGCTCCTATTCATCTTGCTTTGATGCCCTAACCTCTCAACCCCCCAGTGACATAAGAGTTGAGAGGCCAGCATTCATTTTGATCTCCCTTGTAACTCATCTTTTCAAGGGAGGTTCCTTGATGCTTGTGAAGAGTTTTTGCACTAAAGAGTTGGTGCTGTCCTTCCCTTTCTCGGATCTAACTCTATCTCCAAATTCTACGGATTTAGTATTTTTCCATGAATACTGTATTAACTAGATATATATATTGGTCACTGCATGATCTGATGATGGCATTTGCTGTGTATCAAAACCCCCAGCGTCTCAGTGCACACGTTTGGAATAGTGCAGAGTGCGGCATGAATTGATATTAAATATTAGTGTTGTATAAACTTGAGAAAGTTCCTGTATGAACCATAGAACAAGAATGTGGAGTACTTTACATTTTCAGCATGAAAATGAAGTGACAAAAAATAGCCTGAAAATAAATAAAGAGAGTGAAACTAACACTGAAATGATGATGCAGATGTGTAGAACTAGCACAGCACCAATGAGTGTTAGCACACTTATGTTAATTTACTGTTTGTGTTTATTACCCTTGTTCCCCCATCCCTCCCTCCCTCCCTCCCTCCCTCCCTCTGTACTGTTAGCATTGATTAACCTTCTCTCCTCTTCCTACCCACTTAGTTTGTATGTGAACAAGTGCTTTTTATTTATTTATTTTTTTAATACACCGACCATTTCCCACCAAGGCAGGGAGGCCCAAAAAAGAAGAAACACTTAAGCTGTCACTCTTCATCAGTCTTCCCAGAGGCACCCCTTCCAAACTGCAAATATCCCCACCCCTTCTTCAGAGTGCAGGAACTGCACTTTCTCACCTCCAGGACTTGTCTGGCTAACCGGACTATTATGTTCGCATGCCTACTGGATGTCCAAACCCCTTGCATACAAAACCTCCTTTTTCCCTTCCCTCCAATCTTTCCTAGGGCATCTCCTACCTTGCCTACCCTTCACCATATATTTATACACCCTCCAGGTCATCCTGTTTTGTTAGACTGTCTCCATAACCCCTCCTCAAACCTTCTGAATAATTTTAGTAACCTTGCATATTCTCTGCAAAATTTTTACACCACACATTGTCCCCTGACACAACATCTCCACTGCCTCCAGACTCCTTGCTGCAGTGTTTGAAATGAATGCTTCATACCCATTTGTGTGTGTTGATACCACTATGCTGTCACGCATTCTCCCTTTCTTTGCATCCATGAATAGCAGTCTTTCTCTACAGATGCCTTGGTGCACCGCCCACCATATTCCCCTCATCAATTCTATGGTTCACCTTGTCTTTCATTGACCCATCCGCCAACAAGTACGTTCCCAGATGTGTGAACACGTTCATTTCCTTTATACTCCCTCCTTTCAATCTGATATCCAGTCTTTCATTACCTTCATCACCTTGCTACCAAATTCTTCCACCAACCTTTGCAACTTCTCTTCAGAATCTCCCAAAGACAGTGTCATTGGCAAAAAGCAAGTGTGACAACTCCTACTTTGTACTAGATTCTATACATTTTAATCCCATGCCTCTCCCCAGCACATTTTAATCCCATGCCTCTCCTCAACACCCTAGTATTCACTTTTTTTTACAACCACATATATGAATATCCTAAACAACCATGGTGATAACAAACATCTCTGTCTAAAGACTTACTTTTACTGGAAAATAATCTCCCTCTCCTGCATACCCTAACCTGAGGTTTTTTTTTTTAACACATTGGTTGATTCCCACCAAGGCAGGGTGGCCCGAAAAAGAAAAACTTTTATCACCATTCACTCCATCACTGTCTTGCCAGAAGGGTGCTTTACACTACAGTTATAAAACTGCAACATTAACGCCCCTCCTTCAGGGTGCAGACACTGTACTTCCCATCTCCAGGACTCAAGTCCGGCCTGCCGGTTTCCCTGAACCCCTTCATAAATGTTACTTTGCTCACACTCAAACAGCACATCAAATATTAAAAACCATTTGTCTCCATTCACTCCTATCAAATACACTCGAACTTGCTTGCTGGAAGTCCAAGCCCCTCGCTCACAAAACCTTCTTTAGTCCCTCCCTCCAACCCTACCCCGCCTCCCCTCCACTACAGATTTATACACTCTTGAAGTCCTGTTATGTTTCATTCTCTCTACATGTCCGAACCACCTCAACAACCCCTCCTCAGCCCTCTGGATAATAGTTTTGGTAGTCCCACACCTTCTCCTAATTTACAAACTACGAATTCTCTGCATTATATTCACACCACGCATTGCCCTCAGACATGACATCTCCACTGCCTCCAGCCTCCTCCTCGTTGCAGCATTCATCACCCATGCTTCACACCCATACAAGTGTTGGTACAACTATACTCTCATACATTCCCATCTTTGCTTCCACGGACAAAGTTGTCTCGACAGACTCCAAAGTGCACCACTCCCCTCACCCTTCATAGACCTATCTGCTGACACGTCCACTCCTAAATATCTGAATACATTCACCTCCTCCATACTCTCTCTCCAATCTGATGCCCAATCTTTTGCCACCTAATCTTTTTTGTTATCCTCATCTTACTATTTCCTGTATTCATTTTTAATTTTCTTTTACATACCCTACCAAATTCATCCACCAACCTTTGCAACTTATCTTCAGAATCTCCCAAAAGCACAGTGTCATCAGCAAAGAGCAACTGAGACAACTCCCACTTTGTGTTTGATTCTTTGTCTTTTAACTCCACACCTATTGCCAAGACCCTCGCATTCACTTCTCTTACAACCCCATCTATAAATATATTGAATAATCATGGTGACATCACACATCTTTGTCTAAGGCCTACTTTTACTGGGAAATAAACTCCCTCTCTCGTACACACTAACCTGAGCCTCTCTATCCTCATAAAACCTCTTCACTGCTTTCATTAACCTACACCATACACCTGCAGCATCTGCCGCATTACCCCCCCCTCCCCCCATCCACCCTGTCATATGCCTTTTCCAAATCCATAAATGCCACATAAACCTTCTATCTCCTTGTGGCTTAGCGCTTCATTTTGATTATAATAATTTACCCTTATCTAAATACTGTTCACCTCTGTTTCATTGTAAACACTTGGTCTACACATCCTCTACCTTTCCTGAAGCCTCCTTGTTCATCTGCTATCCTACTCTGTCTTACTCTTAATTCTTTCAATAATAACTACCATACACTTACCTGGAGTTTACTTGGAGTGGGTTTCGGGGGTCAATGCCCCCACGGCCCGGTCTGAGACCAGGCCTCATGGTGGATCAGGGTCTGATCAACTGGCCGCACGCAAGCTGACGTACGAACCACAGCCCGGTTGGTCAGGTACTGACTTTACGTGCCTGTCCAGTGCCTTCTTGAAGACAGCCAGGGGTCTAATTGGTAATCCCCCTTATGTATGCTGGGAGGCAATTGAACATACTTGGGCCCTGGACACTTATTGTGTTGTCTCTGTGTACTCGTGGCACCCCTGCTTTTCATCGGGGCAATGTTGCATCTCCTGCCGAGTCTTTTGCTTTCATATGGAGTGATTTTCGTGTGCAAGTTTGGTACCAATCCCTCCAGGACCTTCCAAGTGTATGTAATCATGTATCTCTCTCGCCTGCGTTTGAGGGAATACAGATCAAGGACCTTCAAACGTTCCCAGTAGTTTAGGTGCCTTATCGCACTTGTGTGCTGTGAAAGTTCTTTGTACACTCTCCAGGTCTGCAATGTCGCCAGCCTTGAAGGGGGCTGTTAGTGTACAGCAGTATTCCAGCCTGGAGAGCACAAGCGATTTGAAGAGAATCATCATGGGCTTGTCGTCCCTAGTTTTGAAGGTTCTCATTATCCATCCTTTCATTTTCCTAGCGGATGAGGTAGATACATTGTTGTGGTCTTTGAAGGCAAGATTCTCTGACATTATCACTCCCAGGTCCTTCACATTACGTTTCCACTCTATTGTATAGTTAGAATTTGTGGTATACCCTGACACATTTTTAATTTCTTCAGGTTTTCCGTATCTGAGTAGTTGAAATTTCTCCTTGTTCAACTTCAAATTGTTTTGAGTGGCCCATTCAAAGATTTGGTTGATGTCCGCTTCGAGTCTCGCAGTGTCTTCGATGGAGGTCACTGCCTGGTGATACGGGTGTCATCCGCAAAGGAAGATGGAGCTATGGCTTACATATGTGTCTTTGTCAGAAATTAGGATGAGGAATAGAATGGGAGCGAGTACCATGCCTTGTGGAACAGAGCTTTTTACCA